CTTTGGTGTTCAATTATCTATTTACATTAGAATTTCAATACAAATTGAAGAATAATGTAAGAATTATCTTACGAACGTAAGATATAGGTATACATAAATAAGTAATAGAAAAGTATAAGACTACAACAAAGAACATATTTAATTTTCAATGAAAATTACGAGTTTATTTCGAGCTTACGATAATTTACAATTATCATCATCAGGAAACGACTAACGAAAAGCAGAACAACTGTTATAATATATACATCGTGTCTTCTTGATTGCGGACGAAAATCAAACCAATTAGCATGCCGACAGTGTGGGTGAGGACTGAAATTTTGTCCGCAATTAAGAAGTAGCCATATACATATGATTAACATCAAAGAATAACACATTACAATATTGTTAAATGAAAAGACATATTATAATAATTCGGAATGATTATAATATGTCTTTTCAATTAACAATATTGTAATGTGTTATCCTTTGATGTTAATCATATGTATATATTATAACAGTTGTTCTGCTTTTCGTTAGTCGTTTCCTGATGATGATAATTGTAAATTATCGAAAGCTCGAAATAAACTTGTAATTTTCATTGAAAATTAAATATGTTCTTTGTTGCAGTCTTATACTCTTTTATTACTTATTTACTTCCAACTGCAGTAGCTTCGAATTATATACATAAATGTTAATAACTAGAGAAGAATTTGAAAAAAATCAAAGAATGTGTTTAGTTAATCGAATATATAAGTATAGAAGAACAAGTTCACTTTTGCAGACAAATAAATAATTTATGTCTTATTGGTTGGGAATATGTTTTCTTAAATGTAAACAAAAAATCTTCACAAAATAGAATCAAGTGAAAGAGACAAAAGTGCCTGTATAATGGAAACCAGCGAAAATAGATCTAGTATGATGAATAAATATAGATAATTTGATTCAAAAGAGAAATATCACCATATTTGAGCTAGTCCAGCTTGGAACGTTCCCTGTTATCCAGGCCATTTTTTTAGCATATAGTCTTTAAAAAAATATACAAACTAGTGTGGATAAAAGTTAATAGTAGGTTCGAATTTTTTTGGAAAAATATTCGCCTGGAGAGTTGTGCCAAAAAGCATTGATAGTTGTACCAGAAACAAAAAAAAGTTATGCTATAGAATGCATATCTTTCCAGAAGTTTCTATCATGAAAGATCACTATAAAGTTCTAAAAAAAAATTTCAGCCGATATTTTTCGGTAAAAAATGCAGTTTTTCCAATAAATATTCGTTTCAAGAGTTGTACCAGCGAGGTACCAATGAGATATATTGGTTAATATCAAACTCGACCTTGTCTATCCGAAGGATGATGCCTAGTTGGCCAAAAACTGACTGTACAGTGGTTGGCGTCCAATTTTATAGCCTAATATGCTTTTCAACAGCTGTACTAATTGTGTAAATGCATCTAACAGATAGAATTTGATAAAGTCTATCGACTGATATCAAATTTGATCATGTGCATCAACAAGTCGTGTCTCTATCTGTTTAATGACTAGGTAGACAACGGATATCATTCATTTTGTCTATATTGATATCACTGTCCCACGAATATCTTCCCTTACTCTTTTCTCTTATTCTCTCTATTGTTCTGTTTTGTGCTCATCTCTCTCCTATAAAAACTTGTGTTGAAGGTGAGATACTCATAACGTAGAGATATAAAGTAGGTAAATTAATATTATTCTCGATGATGACATTAAGCTACTTCTCCAGTTTGCCATTATATGACAAACATAAGAATCAAAACTGTATTTCTAGGTTCGAAGTTGAACACTACCAGAAATAACAACAACCCAACATCATAGATTATCATTTGACAAGACGATGTAAACAACTGTCAAGAATATTATTGATATTTATATAATATTGAATTATTTCAAGCTAACCACAATGGACGGTAAAAAAAAATACTCATTTAGTTAATAAATAGATGAAGAAATAAGGGTTGAAGTACATGACATAGTTAAAAAACTGCAATATTAATTTTTGCAATATAGACAGAACAACAATGTTACAGAACACTAGTGAATATACTAAAGGACGGCTAGAATAGGGTCAACTATGAGAAGATTTCAGCAGGTTTTTCTTTTTAACATTGGTACGCTTCACGTCACTTCTTGTCAAGTTACTCCGTTATGCTACACCGCAGTTATATGTATTTTTGTTCAAAGAAGAAAAGAGAAAGAAACAATCTGATGAATTGTTCTCCAAATCGATGATACTCTGTAAACTAACTGATCCAATTGACAGAACACATCAACGAGTGTAGATGCTGTGGTATTGGTGATCTATATAAGTTCCTATTTGTCAGTGACACTATAGTCAGTCTAGTTTGTTTCTTGACTACTTTCAGCATCTGCATTCCATCCAACTAACCGTTCCTCATCATTAACTTCTTGTCATGGTGAGTTATTCTCGGATGAGTCTATTTAACGACGAAAAGTGATCAGTTATCATGTAGAAATAATAACATCCAAATAACATCTGTCAGAGTGATTTGTTTTCTTTGATTATTATGAGCAAGGATAAATTTTGTTTGTTTTTTGTACTGATTGGAGAAGCTATATTTCATAAAATGAAATGTGAAATTTTTTTTCTTGTTTTCTTTTTACGAAGAATTATTAGAAGAAGATTGAATTTGTTGTATACTATAGTTTTTTAAGTACTATTACGACTCTGTACTATTTCTCTCTCGTTTGTTTTTTTCATATGGGAAGTGTCAAAACAATCTGACTTGAAAGTATGAAACGAAATATTTCTAGATATTATTTATACACTAGATTCGAGTTTTCTTAATTTCACGAGTTTTTTCATGTTAATGAGCTTGATATCACATGCAATATATAAGTATTTCTTTTAAGTAGTTGATTGATTTTTTTTGTTCTCGTTCATACGAGAGTTATGTTTACTTTTTGTATTCACGTAATGACATTAGTCAATGTCAATCTTATCTTTTTTTTTTACGTGAATTGTTAAAGTTCAAATGATAAACTTATTAGTGTGTTCTGTTCGTTATCGTTCGTTATTATATATTCTTGTTTCATTTTGTTTTTTTTCTATATTGTATAGACGCTCAGAAGTTTGTCTTGATTGATGTGAGTAGGGAGAAGATGCCAATACTGATATCATTTTTTCGTTGATATATTCAGTTCCTCGTTACTTTCTTCCTTTTCTTATGATTCTCTGTGTTGTTTTTCCTATGTTTATTTCTTTTCTATGTATGTAAGCTTAGGTTGAATATGAGAGCTTGTTTATAGACATAGACAAAAGGAGAGAGAAATATAGTTGTCACGTGTTTATGAATTTTCATCTTTCATTTTCACAATTCTGTCTACTTTAAACATTTCTATTCAGTAACATCTAGGAAAACACAAGATATACAGTAAGAAAAGTTGTTTTTTTTTGATTTTTTGATTTTTAATCTCTCAATTTTCTTTTGATATCTACTGAATATGAGTAGGTATGTAGAAAAAAAAATACCCGTTTTTTTTTTAATCATATATATCGATAATACAGTGTGGTCAACCCTTACAGAATTTGATTATTTTCATTATGCATAATTTCCACAAAGATAGATGCCAACATGCTGAAGTTTTTTATAGAAAGAAAAACCTAACGAATTCTATTATTAGTAAAACTTTCAATCAGTTTAATCCAACTTAGCTAGACTTATTAAGAGAATAGAGAGACTTACTAAATTTTATACCATTAAATTGTTTTTTTTTGAACTACTTTAAAGATTCCTACTTTTTTTTCTATTGGCGAAAACGTTACACAAAGAAATGTTCTGGATGTACATTGTACAATTATTGACGAGTTTTCAGAATTTTTTTCTTAATATTCAATAAATGTGAATTGTTCAATTAAAAGTTTGAAAAACACTATCCATCAGAAAATTTCATTTTTTTTTTAAATTTGCATTTAGAACATGAATAAAATCATAAGTAAACAAACGCAATCATATATTTTTCATTCGTATCAATGAATTTCTAGAAAAAAGCACTGTTTGACACTGATTCCAATTATATGAATATTTGAAAAGAAGAAAAATAGCATTTGCTGAGTATAAAAATATTTAAAAGTTCATAAAAAAAGTTTTTAATTACACAATACTGTATGTTTAGAAAACTGATAGGAAAATTAGATCAAACAAGAGTATTTTATATGATTGTGTGATTCTTCTTTCCAAAATTGTCAATATAAATTTCTAACTAAATACCCTATAAGAATTATTCTTTTTTTTTTTTTTTTACAAAACTTTATTAAAAATGTCAATAAGTTATAAACACAATAACTTGATTCATGAACATCTTTTATGTAAATGACATGGTAGACGAGCAAGATTGTTATTTATTTACTAAGATATAATTAATAAATTTTGGTTTATTACTCAATTATCTTTTAAAACTTCTCTACTAAAGATTTTTCAATCGAATAGTCTAACAAGAAAACATATCCAACTGTCAGACGCTGTTTGGTCCCATCTTTTGGTTGTGAGTCGAGTTCAGCGAGACTAAGAAAACACTAAAAGAGTTCATGCCTGAATGAAGAGCTTATTGACACATTGTAAGAAAATGAGATTTTTTCCTAAATTATTTTTCTATATTCCGAGAAGGTAAAGTCTGAAATTTTGAACATGAAATTTTCATTTGATCTCACGAAATTCGCTTGTATTCAGTCAAAAAAAAAACGAAAGTATGGGTGTGTCTTTTATTTTTACCAATTCCATTTTCTTACATCTATATAGTACTGAGATCTCCTTCTACAGTTGATAAAGGGTACAAACTTGTTTAGGTTCTTCTTTAGTCTCAATAAACTCTACTCATAGCGATCGAGTAACAGTCTGATATGCTTTCGTGGTGCTCTTGTCAATAGTAGATTCAACTTTCTTTTTAAACTTTTGAGTTCAAATTCACACAATATGTACAAGTTGTTCAATTTGTGATTGTATTGAAAAGATGAATGAATAAATGATATTCTACATTTATGTTTGAGAGAAATATTGATTAAAAATTTTTTCTCGACGTAAAATGATGCGTAATATTGATTGTTTTTGTTTATAAGATAATTCTTGATTAAGTATATGATTATTAAAATTAATTTCAATTCGATGACATGAACATGTATTCATATAATCTATTTTTTCAAGTAAATCATTAATATGTGGTTTTATACCTAATTCATTTTTATCTTTAAAATGTATATAAATTTGATTTGAAAGATTTAATGATTGACATGAAACTATTGTTTTATCAATAGATGATAGAGATGTATTGGATGTACTATTCGACGAACATTTTAAATTTATTGGAGGTTTAAATGAATCAAGAATACGTTGAATTAATTCACTTTTTGTTGTTTCAATACTATTTACATTTGATGATGAAGATAATTGATTTGATGTTTGTGAAATTCGAACATCTGATCTAGTTAAATTTTGTGTAGAGATTCTAGAGAAATATATTAAAAAAAAAACAAATGAATTTTTAGTATGTTATACGTATACTTAGGATCAAGTATAGAAAGTTCAGGAGAGTTTATCGTTAGATTTGTATTATTTTTAAATTCTTTCGGATAGATGGAAGACTAGAATAATTTATTTTTAATGTAATTCTAAATAATTTTTCTTTTTTTAATCTTGAAATACCGATAATGATTCTTCAGATTGAATTGAGAAATTTTGTTCGATTCTATTCTGTTTATTAATGTAATTATGTGAAGTATCAAGAGAATTTATTGGAAGTAATTTCTGATATTCATTACTTTCATCTAGAATATAAACAACGAGTATTTATATTATAATAAATAAGCATTATTATTTTTAATCTTTACATGTATCGAAATCTGTATTTTCATTAGACATTCTTTTAAGAATATGTCATAGTGATATTAAGAAAATAAACGGGGAAAACAAATAAATTATATTCGTGTTACATACAGCGCCTTTTCCTTGGCGCTATAAATATATTGTGAAAAAAAACAATACAGAAGATATTATTTAATTTTATAGCAAGTGTTCCAAGAAATAGTTTTTCTATATAATCTGTTGATGATAACAATTCTTTTTTAAGGTATCATATTGTAAGAAGAATTTTGATATGGAACAAATGATTTTAATATTCATTGATTTTCATTTTAGATTGAATAAAAATGATGGCTAATGATGAACGAAAATTAGCTACATCTGCATTGATACCATTAGAGATTGATCCTAGTAAGAAAAAAAAAAAAGAACAATTGAATTTATTTTTCAATATTGATTAAAATTTTAGCGAGTATATTGAGTTTATCAAAAGGTGTCATATTTGATACAATTGTTCATAATATTGAATATACATTCAACAATCGACGTACAGATCCTTTACCATGGAAACTTGTCGGAATGTCTCTCATATGTGATCCAAGTCGAAATAAAAAATATACGCAAAAACTTCAAAAAATGCAGGTAAATTATTAATTGATCTGCAAATAGTTTTTCCATGGAGAGTTTTTCATTATAAAAAAATTGTTTGTATTTTCATTCTCTAATAGTTTCTGTTTTTTGTTATAACAGAATATAAAATATTATAGTCCTTTGGTCTCAAATTCAAATGGAAATTTTGATGTTTTTTTTTGTATGCAAGAAAAAGATATTTATTATGGCTTCACACTATGGTCACACAGAGACTATGATTTGCTAGCATAAACTGTATTTTAAAAGGGAACAGTTATCTTATTCTTTTTTTGTCACCGTGATGTATTTCTTAATTTTTTTTTCCTTGTTCGAGTTTCCTTATACATGATAGCTATCTTTTGGCAATAGCAATTTAATGATCTGTTCTTATTCATGCATAGAGACGGACCAAAATTTAGAGCAGCTGTATTTTTGAGTTTTCTACCTAAAAACTTTAATAAAACGATTTCGATGAGAATATCTGAAGAATCAAGACTGTTTAAATTATTTTTCTGGCATTCGTTTGAAGCTTTTTGAAAATGGCTTTATTTGATAGAGAAAAAAAAGAAGAAATCTCAATTCTTTTCATGAGTTTCGTTTATTGAACTGCATTCAATTTACAGAAGACCTAAGACATATTTATCTGTTATTTTTATGAAAAATTTCAATGATTTCGTCATGTTTGACGATTTGGAGCTTTCTATGAATTGAATGCAATTCAATGAAGGAAGGTAAACTAATTTTTGGGGGGGTCTTGATTTTCTAGACAACTTCATTCAAGGAATTTTCTTGGAGTTTTTAGAAACAACAATCCGAATAGAAGATCTTTTCAGTTACTCAAATATTTTTTCAAATTCTTCCTTACTAACATCATCAACAAGAAAGCTCACATTAATGAAAGTGTTGAACTTGATCATTATAATGTGAGAGTATATTTACGCATACATGCTGGAAAAGCTTATCAATAGTGATCTTTTGTCAAAGAAACCTATAGGTGGTATTAAGAATGCAAATAATTACGGAAAAGTTGACAATAAAAAGAACGACACGTTAACAGTGAATAACTTTTATGAAACAAATGTTAAGACCAATATTTCTGGACTTGTTGATTAGGATTCTAAGACACCGAATTATAAATCCATTGTTATTTATGTGAAATATAGAAATTTGAAAAGATTATGTCTCACCTTTTTGCACATATACTTTTTTTTTAAACCTTTTGATTAATTTATTTCTATAAGCCATAATATAGTCGATAGTGTCCTCTAGCAAGCACTTATCTATGATGGTCAAATAATGAAAGTTTGTTTCAGAATAAATCATTAAACGGAACTAGAAAATTTCTTTTAATCAGAGTTTGTCGTAATTTGTAAATGTGCCACAGAATTCTTCATCTTTTAATTTATGATTGAAAGTTTTAAAAGAAATATTTATGAAACAAAGTTATTAAGTGATAAATAAGAAACATTAGACAAAATTCTGGTGAAATAAGATTATGTGAGTTTTGTTTTGTTTTTTCTAATTCGATACAATCTAATTTCGTTTGTGTTCTTCAACTTAGAAGTCACATCATTTTGTTTACAATTAATTTCTACATCCGATGGTATGGGAATGACTGTTTAATATACCAAGTGTTAATTCAAAGTATTTTCCTCACGAACAGTAGTAGCAGAAACATTGAAAAGGTTATAGAAGCACAGATCATAAAATTCTATATTTATTGTCGCTAACTAAGTTACTTTTTCCATGGATCTTGATGAAGAGGAACTGGCGAAAAAACAGAGTTATACAATTGAACATGTGTTCATTATTTGTATTTTAGTAGAAAACAAGAAGAAGACGATTTTTGTTTCATTTAATCTGTATTACCTACCGGTTGTTTCTATTTAAATTTTATATAGTTTATGAGTCAATAACGTATATCAAATTTGATAAATGTATCAAATGGTTCTAATTTTCGATTAGTTGAGTCATCATGTAAAAAAAAAGAATAAAAACAATGTTGATCCATTGTTATGCTTTTAATATATATACAAATGATAAAGGATTTCTATTGGCACATAAAAAAATTGATTAAGAATGATATTTTTTCCTGTCTGTTTGAAACTCGAACTCGTTTTTCATTGTTTTTTATATTTAAACTAGTGTGTTCGATCAGTTATATGTACACAAATATATCATTCAAAACTTGTAAAAACAGAATCCGGTGCATTAACAACACCGGGCCGAAAACTTATCATTCCAACTTCTCCACGTAAACGCTTGACAGGTATTATTATCTGTCGATCAATCGATGAATTATTATATATGGAATCTTCCAACACAGATAATGTTCATTTTATACAATATAAAGTAAAAAAGTTTTTCTTTTATTTTTAAAATAAATAATTTTATTTATTCGTAGTTATTATCATATGAACGTATAGCAACACGTGAACTTGTAAATGGACCAAAGTTACCATCAATTGGAGATAAAATTATTGTAGAATTATTATAATTATGATTGATTAATACTAGAAAAAAAAACTTTGTTTTTGTTAATTTAGAAAACTGTTTTTGATTTTGAACTAACTCAAAATAATGGTTTTCCACGACAACTATTACCTCTTGCAATAATATCATTTACAAGACAAGAAGGTTGTGATTTATGTTCATCAATTCGAAATTTTCTTAAATTAGATGAACATAAAATATTCGATAAGTAAGAAAAAAAACAAAAAAAAAAAAACGACTGCAATCAATTAATTTTTTTATAATTTTATTCATATAAATTCATATTAATAGATCATATCTTGTAACGACTACAAATGCTGAATTAGATCGTTTACGTGAAGAGCAAGAAAGAAAAGAAGATGCTGAAGCTGAACAAGAATTACCGTGGGAAAAAATGCAACCACGACAACCACTTGCTGATTTATCGAAAAAGAGCACCGGTATTATTCAATCTTCATATCTCTTTTTCTTTCTCCGTTTTTGTGGAACACGATCTAAAAAGATTGTTGAAGCGTAGATGTTAAAACTTGGTTTTCTTCTTCACACATCGTAACAGACACTAATCAGATAGAAATCTGCAAGACCAATTTTAATTTCGGTCATCGAAACTAGGACTACAAGAGAGAGCAGTTGATGAGACTGAGATCGGAATTACAACAAACAAGTCGTCGCTCGAATTCGGGCTCAAGGTTTTAGTTAAATATTCCAGAGTTTTAAGCGAATTATGTTATAAAATCATTAATCAAAATATAATTCAAGAGAGATGACCCAAACAAAAGTGCTAGTCGTCGACTAAATAAATCAAAGACCGAGTGTTGAAGAAACCTTTTACATGTAATGCAAATCAATTCAGGAATAGCGTTCTCTAGATCAGAACTGAGATTAGATTAGATTTGAAAGGACTATGATCAGAACGAATAGAAAAAAGTTACTGAGACCAAAGATACTTGATGCCATGCATCTGGAGTCACACACGGTGACAGGCACCTTAGTAACACTCCTTCTCATGTCTCAGACTATGACAGTCATTTTGGACGTACGATCATGGAATCCTATACCAATAACGTTCTATTAGACTACTTTATTATTGTATTGCTGAAGGATTAAGTGAAAGGATGGTGAAGAAATGTGTTCCAAAATAAATAGAATAAAATCATCTTCCTATGATCAGCAACGGAAGCTATAAGATGTTTCACATTTTAATTCCATCTGAATTCTACTAACAGTTTTTCAGTATATTTTATCTCTGTTTTTAGACACTGGAAATGCTCAACCATCACCTATATCACAAATATATCCACGTGTACCTCCTTTGAAAATAAAGATTCCTCGTCCATCACTTGATTCAAAATTTCAATGTTTACTTAAATTGGATAGAATTGATTTATCTTTATATGATATTAGTAATTTAAAAACTATATTGCAAACAAAAAATAAAAAATCAAATGAATCATCAATATCATCAGATGTAATCAATAATAAAACAAAATCATTTACTATTAGTAAACCACATGAACATCATAAACCATTGAAACGTTTAAATACTTCAGAATCAAAAAAACAATTAAATCATTCTTCAGAAGTTTTCAAAGAAAAATCTAATGATAAATCAATATCTACTCGTTCATCAACAAATAATCTAACTTCATCATTGACTAAAAATAAAATAGATAGAAGTTCATCATCTACTTCGTCAATGTCATCAATGTATATTCCAAAACGGACAGGTTTGTTTAAAACAAGAAAACTTTCTATTCATACAATATGTGTCTACATTTTTTTTTGTTAATATTTTATCTTAATAGTTGAAAAACATATAATCAAAAAGAAAGTGAAACGACCTATTTTACCACCTGAATATCATTGTTCAATATCATTGTCACGAATTGATTTATCCATGTACAATCTTGATTTACCTGCTATTGATACTTCTACTAGTAATACTTCTATGGTTATGAAATCGACAGTGACAAGTAAAACGATTTCTATTTAAATGAATTTTAAACTATGATTTATCATTCTTAGCATCATCATCTGACTCAACATTATCCGAACAGCAAGAACAATCTGTAAATGTACCAGTCGAACAAGAAAGTATTCAAGGTAAATAATATATGATTGAAGTTTAGTGTCAAATGATTTTTTTAGATATTTAAGATGTTCAGAAAGTAACTAAATGATGAAAAATTTGAATATTTTTAACCATATTTCATCATCATTAGATAGGTACAAAAGATTTTATATCTATGTCAAGAAATCTTTATATTTTCATTTTTGAGATGACAGATATTAGTATAAGTAACTATCAAAATTATTCAACAAGGTTTATTTTCAATTATCTTCTGTTGCCATAAATGTTAGAAAGAACCAAATAGTGATTCGAACAGAGAAAATCATTTCCGACAAGAATATAGAGAAATGAAAATTATTAGCAGGTTCCTAAAGATATAGATTTCAGATAACCAAAACCTTACTTTTTTCAGCTCTAGAGCGCATAAATGTAATTTTGTTGAGACTATATAAAACACGATAGAAGAGACAGTTCTCTACAAAATGAGTCGTTTACGAATTTTCTGCAGCATTTCTTAGCTGTAATACATCTATTGGATGAAAGATCAAAAAACGGCAGGAAAAACAACTTTAGGAGCTTTCATAAAATTGCTGTATCTTAGCTAAAAAAACGTTGCAGAAAACTCTTAGTTATCTCATTTTGTAGAGAACTGTTCGCTCTGTCGTTCTATGTAGTCTAAATAAAATTATATTTACATATTCTAAGTGTCGAATAACCAAGATTTTCGTTTTCTGAAGCTCCTGTCTCTGGAAATCTGGTAATAATTATTGTTCTTCTTCGAATCACTAGTTGGATTTTTCTTTAGCACTTACTGCAACAGAGAAAAAATTGAAAATAAATCATTGTTGTACTCACTGTATATGTATCAAATTGTTCTGTTCAACTATTGAAATATGTAACGCTTTTAATTTAAATAATTCAATAGTGAAAATTTCTCAAAATAGATTTAAAATTTTTTTCGTATCTATTTGATGCTTTAATGATTCCGAATAATTTTTGGAACTTCCAAACTCTCATCTGTGGTATCAATATAAGCTCATATGATGGAGGTATTCAAATTTTTCTTTGTTTAATTACTTTCTGGATATTCGATATTTTATCTTCATTATGGTTCGGATAGATAATTTCTAATAAGAGAAAAATATTTTCGAGAGAATAAGGAAATAAATTGGAATGATAGCTTTATATCTTTACAATTATTCAAAACAATTGTTATCATACTTTTTTCCATTATGATTCATATAGATTATAAATTTGATGCCTTGATTTCAGATACTCTTCAACCGATGTTTATGACAGAACAAAAAAAAATTGATGAATCCGAACAAGAAATAATATCCACTGTTGAACAATTTAATAATATAGATACAAATGAAATTTTACAACCTATGATGAATGAATTTCTAATACCGTATATCAATCAAGCTTTACAAAATACTACTAATACCGTTCTACCATCATCTACAGCCGAAGTTCTACAAGAAACTACCGATAAATCTATGTTATCTATAATCGAAGCAATTTCATCATCATCTACAACCGAAGATCTACCACCAGCTTCTGATGAATCTATGCTACCGATAATTGAAGCAATTTCACCAATATCTACAAACGAAGATCTACCACCAGCTTCTGATGAATCTATGCTACCGATAATCGAAGAAATTTCACCGATATCTACCAATGAAGATCCACCACAAACTACTAATGAATCTATGTTACCTATAATCGAAGAAGTTACACCAGTATCTACAAATGAATATCTACCACAAACTACGAATGAACTTTTATCAAATGTTATCAATACAACTTCATCAGAATCTATGGACGCTACTAATGAAGTTCACGTACCGACTAAAAATGATGTTGTACCAACCGTTCAAAATGAAGAAAATATTCAACCGATATCACCTTCTCCATGTATTACTTATTCTCCAGAATTACCACCACTTGATGATGATCCAGTAGTATTTTCAGTCGAAAGTTTACCGATTCCTGTAATGGATAATTCAGATATAGTTTCGCAAGATTGTATCATTATTGTACCATGTTCAGATGACGAAGACGATTTTGACGATGAAGAAATAAATAAAAATAATACAGATAATCGAATTCTTGAATCTTCATCTTCACCATCTAAAACAAATATTTCTCCTGTCATATCTAATCCATCATTAAAACGAGGTAAACTATTCTTCTTAAATTAATAAAATTTTTTTCTGTATTATTTTTTTTTTTTGAAGTTCTAACAAATACAGGTTCTTTAAATTCTCATCGTTCATCAACATCATCATGTTCATCAATATCTGTAATTTTAATTAAATAAATTTTTTTTTCTTGAATTTCTTTTTTATTATCAAATATCTTTAGACATCTATTCTTCATACTCACAGTCCTCGATTACCACTTCATTTAATTGAAATTATTATACCACAAAAAATTTTAAATAAAAAACAACATAGATCAAATCAAACAATAAATTTTAATCGATTTAATTTACATATACCATTATTTGTACATGAACCATTAATTGATCCTCGTTTAATGTATCGTTTACAAGCTTTAACAACAGATCTTCGTTGGCCTAGTCCTTGTAATCAATGTTCAATATCAACTCAGCTATCACCATTATGTCATTCTTCAACACAAATGATATCATGTGAACAAAAATGTGTATCTGAATTTATTGATCCACGTCGTGAATCATTAAAACAAGCTATATTAAATATAATATATCAACGTTTAAAAATATTAATGCCACATTTATTCATAATAAATATGAATCAAATTCAAACACTTTTATTTGAACAAACTATATTTAAAACCAATTGTTCAATACATCTTGAATATCTTTTACATAAAATAAAAATAATTGATGATATGAATTTTTTTCATATGATTAAAAGTTATGATGAATTTCAATTATCATCTTCTCTCTTACAACTTATTTTTACTTAAATTAATTCATGATATTTGATGACGATAAACAAAAATTACATATACCTACATATATATATATAGCTTTTTTTCGCTATTTATATAAACTTTCGTTGTTTCTCGACAAAAAACATTTTTTCTATTTTCGTTTCGACATTTAACATGTATCATATTATAGATATATACATATGTGTAAACGTGTGCGTATGAAGAAGTTGATTATTTCTTTTTTTTTTGTTATTGTTGTTCTTGCTCTTGCTATACTGAAAGTCTTTCCATAGATTTCTATTCTTTTGTTCTTTTTTTGCTTAGTTTAGTTATTAAAAGAAAAAAAAAAACAGTACTGAATAATAAACATCATATAAAAAAACAAGATTTTTTTTGATTATCTAATGACAGTTATGTCTCTTGTTTGTATAGATAAGAAAGTATTTAATAGTAGTTACTGGTTGATATTTATAAGAAAAAAAAAAAGTATGTTTTTTAATCGTTATAAGATTTTATCGATCTATGACTTCATAGAAAAGTTTTCTTTTGTTTTTAATTTATTGTTACAAAAGTACTAAAATTTGAAATGTTTCAAAACAAAATTAAATTAATAAACATTAACAAAAATAAAATTACGCATTAGTTTTCTTCTTGCAATTTACATCTATTTGTTTACTGCTAGTAATCAAATTTTTTTCAATAGAATTTTGTCTTGTTGACAAAAAACATCAACAGTACTATATAGGAACATCGGTTTACAATAATTATCAGTTTTGTGACGTACTACATACGACTAAGCAAAATTCTTTTTTTTTTTTAGATAATTATGCTTTATATAAAAAAAAAGAAGATGAAATAAGAGAAAAGTCAAAAATAGAAATCGTAGAAGAATAAATTTTCTACGGAGTAGTTGTGACTCATCAATGAGTATTACTTTTCTCTTACTTTTTTTCATATGTGAATTACTGCTGAAGCTGATAACATTTGTCTTAGGTCAGACATTCACTTCTTCTACTTTTCCTTTTGTATATCTTTAACCTTGTATGATATTAATCAATGATAAAGTATAAAATAATGAACAATAATAATGTATCACCAGTATCTGTAAAACAAGACACTCTTGAAGAAATAAGTCATTATACTTATGCTATTGTTTATCCTATAATTTTTTTACTGGGTATCATTGGTAATATACTTTCATCATTACTTTTCTCAATAACTAAACTTAATCGTACATCATGTGGTGTTTATTTTCTTTTACTTGCTATATACGATTCAATCGGATTACTTGGTGGTCTTCATCATTGTTTAACAATTGGTTATCATGTTCCAGTACCTAATGCAACTTATTGTCGTGCTCGTAATTTTCTATTATATATATCTATGGATATGACTTCATGGATGATAGTAGCTATATCAGTTGATCGTTATCTTAAAGTCAAATTTCCAATTAAAGCACGAATCTATGCTACACAAAAATTAGCAATTATTGTTTCATGTATAATAACATTTGTTTTTATATTAAAAAATTTTCATTTAGCAACAGTTTTTATTGGAAATTTCAGAGATGATGCTGCTGATAATTGTGATCCAAATCCAAACTATCCTAAATATGTAGCATTTTTTAAAAATATTTGGCCATGGATTGATCTAACAACATACGCTTTACTGCCATTTATTATTGTTACATTGTGTAATGCATTTATAATTTATGATCAATATAAACGACGTGTAAAACTTCGTAAACGTAATCTTGATCGTTCATTAGTAACATTACTTTTAGTTAGTTCTATTTCTTTAATTGTTTGTAATCTTCCAATAACAATTTTAGCTGGAATTTATCCATATATTTCAGTGACATATGATACAAATAAAACATATGATGGAGTTGCATTTGCATTTGATCTTTTACGAATACTATCTTATGCATCATTAGCATTAAATTTTTATTTATATTATTATTCCTCAACTATATTTCGACAACAAGCAATTCTTTTATTTAAACGTATATTTCGAATTAAATCCATCACCAATGATATTGAACTAATAGAACGACCACATACCAATGAAAATCGTTATGAACAAAGACTTTATTCAATTGAGGAAACTGATGACTATCAACAAACATCAGTACCATCATTGACAGACAGTAGTTTTATTTCAAATTTTTATAGTCAAGAATAACTGACTGATTATAATTCATGTACAGTTAACTTTTAGTTTTTATACTTTTATAAAATATTGTAATAAATGTCGATCACAAATATGTTTTTTTTTTCTTATCTGTAGAACATGACAAGAATATATTTACGAAAATGAATATCGATTTGAATTATATAAAATAGGAAATTTCTTGTTGTTCTTCAAACTCTCCTTTTAGATCGTATCTCACAAAATTCTGAATGTGTATTTAGAAAGAGAATGAAATTCTCATCTGAGCTTAATATACTTGATTCTTTTCGGTATCTTATAAGTAGACGAAAAAATGAACATATACGCTGTGCAAAGACTTTTTATGTAAGCGTTTAATATTTAGTATATTTTTTATAAATATAAATACAATTTATTTTTCTACTATATATCGAATAAGTCCATCGTAAGTTTTATTTATTTTTTTATTATGAAATTTAGCATAAACAATAACTTCTTGCTCTGGTACATTAATTTGTTGTCTGAACATCTCATGTTTTAATGGAACTTCATCTAACCAAATACCATCAAGTGAAATTCGTGCACAAGATGCATGTGGAATACGACAACGAATAGTTGCTTTCGTACCACGCTTAAGTATACCATCAAGTGGAGATAAAATTTGACATTTATATTCAGTAAATTTTCCAAACGTCATTGGTAATATTCTACCTCTAATTAAATCACTTGAAAGTACTTTTACTCCTAATTCAATAACATTTTTAAATAAATTTATTGATGATATTTGTTTAGCAAAAATAATTAATGTATGAAAACCACTTTTATGTGGTGAAAATAAACATTGCCATACTTGACGACTAACATCATATTGAGTAAGACTCGTACTTCGAATATCATCTTTAATTGAACATGTTAATTGAATATCATCAGGTGCTTGAATTAATACTTCAGCAAATGATTGACTTGTATTATAAGGAACAATACTTGAAAAACGTGAAGAAATAATACTAAGACCATATATAAAATAATATGAATGTATATGTGGAAGACGAATATAATCATCCATTGTAATTGGTTTTGAAAGTAATTGCCATCGAGATTCTTCTGGTAAATGATTGTAAATCATATGTTCAGGATGAGTTAAAAAATAATGAGGTTTAAGATCTTTTTTATATTTATGATGATTATCAATATAACCAGTACCCCATGCTGAATCAATCAAGTACCAATGATTATTATTTAATTGTACAACATTCCATGTATGATTTATTTGAGAAAATGTTGGTTTATCAATTTTGAAAAAGAAATCTTTTGCATAACCACGAACTTTTTCACATGGAATATTAAGATTATCACATAATATCTTAAAAATTGAAGCAAAACCTTCACATGTACTTTTACCAGTACGAAAAATATCTTCTGCTTTTTGATATCGATGACGACTATTGAAATCTGAATCAATATCATATTGAATATTTTGTGAAATCCAATAGTAAATAAGCCATATACGATCAATTATATTTTTTTCTAATGTTAAATCTTTAATTAATGTAATTAAATAATTAATAGAAGTAACTTTCCATGAGTCAACTTTCTCACGATAAAATGGATTATCAATAATCATTTGACGTTTGTAACAAAATCTCGTATCAAAGGCATTTGGATCCGAAGGACTAATTTCAACAGGATGATAATTTCTTGTTAATGTTATTGCAATAGTGTCTTCATCAATTTTATTATCTTCTTCATTTGTTTCAATTAAATCTTTAGATAATTTTTGGTTTTTAGGTTTCCTTTTTAAACTTCTACTTCTGGAACGATGATGGCGACGAGAATGATGATAAACAAGAACAGGACTTAAAGAACGATATGGATTAATATATGCTGAAGCATAATTAATAAACGGTGGTTTGTCTTCAATAGATATCCTTTCATGATGACGTCGATTATGCTCTAAACGAGATGGATTTGGCGTAGTTGTAGGCGATTTAAATGTATAAACTGGTACTGATCTTGGTCGAGTTCGACTTAATGGTACTGGTGCATGTACATCTTCGAGTTGAGCTGTTAAAGTTGAACTAATTACCATGTTTGTCTTTGTTTTTGGTTGTGTATGTATGTTTAAATTGCATAGAAACTTATGTCAATTTATATGTTTATGTTCACAGTTAAGAAATAGTAACTAATTGTTGTGTGTCAACAATATAACAAATAGTATTTGATGTATTGTCATGTGTATCAAAGACTATGAAACAGAAAGAAAAATCTTAATCTAATTGACAAAACAAAAAAATATTGTCCATTACCTTTTTTTTATTGTTTTTACCTTAGGCTATGTAACCATAAATGAAATAAGTTGTCATTGTGCAAATGTTGGTGGATGTTTTATGTTTGCATCAAAATAATATTGAATAAAATTATTTTTTAAACATTATACATAAAATTTTTTTTTATGTATGAAAACAATAATCCGAGAATTTCAGCAACTATCTGAAAAACTGTATTAAAAGAATAACTCAATGTAGATAAATATGGGAATGTTTCAACTCGTCACGTTTTTTCTTGTCTGACTTTCGTAACGAATTGACAGTACGAAAGCCCGTGAGAGAGCTTTCGTAACGACAGAATCAGGGCTTTCGTAACAAAAAATCAGGGGTTTCGTAACAAATTTTACAGGGTGATCGTAATTGGTGTTTTAATATGTATCATTACAGAGCTTTCGTAACGAAAAGCATGTAATTTCTGCAAACTAAGTCCAGCTATCACCCTCATCCTCATTACGAAATCCCTGTTGCTTCGTTGCGAAAGCTCTGCAACTGTTACGAACTCCCTGTATTAATCGTTACGATCGCCCTGTAAATTTCGTTACGAAATCCCTGTAT